TGCTGGAACTCGGTGTTCTGAGTACTCACCACGCCAGTAAAGTCACACTGGCTGATGCTAAGGCCGCAATGGCCGCGAGCAGGCACTGGTTGCTAGGCGTCAGAGCCTCAGGCCTGGCCAGCAGCTCGCCCAGGCTCGGCCTCCAGGGTTCGATCATCTCCACCTCCCACGGTGCCCACTGCAGCACTTCCCGAAAGGAGACCTGGAGTTCACTCTCCCCGCGCGGGGGCGGACCGGTCACTACGGGGGCGCGCACGTCAGCCGGACGCCAGCCCCGCCCCCCGCGCAGCCCTGCCCCCCACCCCCCGCACCGTTAAGAAAGAAGTAGAGTCGCGCCACGGGGCGCTGGTCGTGCGTGATCACGCAGGAGAAGGTCCCGCGGTGAGTCGGCTGCACGGGCCGGATCCGCGCCAGGTACCCTTGGGCCCGCGGCATCTCTCGGAAGTAGGACAGGTCCTGAGTCCGGAGCTGCGGGACGCTCAGGCTGAAGCGCCGGGAGGAGCGGGGCCGCCCTGAGCCCAGGTCAGGCTCTCCTTCTGGACTTGCCATCCTCAACACACAAGCCCCACCCCCGAACTAGACCACGTCTTCACGAGCCCCTCCCCCAGTCGTTATTCGTCAATTCTTCACGCATAACCCCGCCTCCTAAATCTTGACTCGCCCCTAGGGCCTAATATTGTAGTTGCTCTCCCGCTCTAAACCCTTACGCCGGGGTCCTGCACTGTGAGCCTTGACCCCTCCCCTAAATGCCGAGACTCTCGCTGGCACGAAGCCTGAATCTAGACCGAGTTCCCCCGAGTCCCACCCCGGCGTCCTGACTCCCCATCCTCTGTGAAGCATAACCCGCCTCCTAAACCCAACGCGCTGGCCCCGCTCCAACTCACACCTCCTCCTGCGAACTTCCAGGAATACATGATCTCCTCCTTAGGCAGCTGGAAGTTCACCGTGCAAGAGAACATAGCCTGATCACCCCGAATCACCGTCACGTCTTGAACTGGAGAAGGAGCTGAGTCACCCCTTCGGCCCCGCCCCATGCCATGCCTCTTCCCCCACCCGCTCTGCTCCCTTCCAGGCCCCGCCCCTCACCTGGGCAGTCCAGCGGGAGGTCGCAGACGGTGGAGTAGCAGCCGCGGCACCGGAAACGCCGGGCGACCTCCTGGAGTCCTAAGGGCGGGAACGCAGGGTCTGGACTCCACCTGCCGTCTCCCCAGCCCGGGTCTCTTGGGCAATTTAAGGTCTACTAAGCCTCCCTGGGTTCACCGGCCAGAACCTGACTTCCCCGCCTTCTTCTGCGCTGATTGGCTTTCACCTCTGCCTTTAGGATTCCCATTGGTTTGCTTTGGCCTTTTAAGAGGTTTGTGAGCAACACCTGGTAGACTTTTCTCCAGGGCTCTTCTTGGCCTCCTTCGAGTCTGAAGCCCACCCTTGCTCTCCCATTCCAAGTCCCAGGTTTTGTCCCTCCCTTACCCCTGCAATTCTGAGCTTTGAATTCTGAGCTTACCGCAAGGAGGGATGCAGGCCTGCACTGCAGAGAGAGAGGAGCGTTATTACTCCGGAAGTCGCGGGAGGTGCCCACCTGAAGCTCCCATTGAGGATGTCACTGGGTCGGATGCATTTATCGGAGAGGGCGGAGCAAGGCCTGCCATGGGCCACCTAGGGGGCGGGGCCAGGCCTGCTGTATTCCACCTGGGGATCAAGCCAGGCCTGCAGCATTCCACTAGGTCAAGCATGGGCTTGCCGCTGGCAGACGGAGGCAGGCTTGCTGCATGCACTAAGGAGGCGGGGCCAGCTCTGGTGTAGTGCACCAAGGGGGCGGGGCTAGGTCCGGGGCGATCCTCAGGGACTCAGAGAAGGGTTGTGACCAGACTAGAGGTAGCCCTCTTTCACTGAGTGCTCAGGCCTAGACCCAGTGAACCAGGAAGGGGTCCGGGCTAATCTGAGACAGAACCATCCCAAGCACGGGTCTTAGCTGGGGAGGAAACCTTAGAGAAGGGGTGGGGCCAGATCCCAAGTGGTCCTCAGAGGAAGAACCTGTGTCCCGAGTGCCTCCCCACCCCCCGCCCAGGAAGTGGCTCAGAATGGCCAGGGGATCGGACTGAAGGGAGCGGACGGCAGTCTCAGGATCGGGGGTTTCTAATTGTGTCTGTCTGTGCCTGTGGGAAGGAGATGGAGTCTGTTTTACCTTCTTTAAGCTGTATAATGACCTTCCGCATTTTCTCTGCTGCATCAGGGAAGGCAACCTCAAATGACCCTAGAGGGTGGAGGGAGGCCTTGCAGTAAAGACTCTTGCCCCTTGGCCCGGCGAGCTCAACTGGACTCGCTGTCATGGTGTCTGTGCCCTTCCCCAGCCCTTCTCTACCCGTGTCTCTGGTATTGACATGATTCTCTCTTACCTCCTCCCACCCAGTCTCCCAGGAAGTCTGACAAATCCCCAAGTCTTCCTTCTGCCTCCTCACCATGGAAGACCTCCTCCGTATCATCTGCATTTATCTTGTTGAGGGGTAAGGAGAGGATGATAAGTATCAAATTCTCACCAAGGCCTCTTAAGCCCTACCTGATCCAGCCTACTTTCCTCTCACTCACTATTCCATTCCTACTGCACACGTTTCACTTCCCCTCATAGGGAAAGCATATTCTCTAGCGTCTCAGGGCCTCTGCACATGCTGGCTTGTTTTTAGTACATCTTTTCCCCTACTTCTACTCATCCTTCAATGTCATACCTCACATAGGCAGTGCATACATATATAGGCGGTGATGAACCTCATTAGAGCGTTACAAAGGGGTTTGAGTGTTCACCAGAGTTCATGTCATACTTCGTGTCATCCACTTGAGGTTTTCCCTGACCATAAATCTAAACTGAGTTCCCTATTTTTGTCTCATAGTTCCCCATTCATTACATTCATAGCTCTCGCCAGTTCACAATTATATTTTTATATACACGGTGATCATTCAAGTATCTCAAATAAGTAAACATATCCTTCTTTAGTGCTGTGTCCCCAGAGCCCAGGATAGGGCCCTGTCTTAGAAAGGGCTCAGTAAGTATGTGTAGAATTCCAGTATCCAACTGGGATGGAGACCCCAACTGGTGGCCTGTGGCCCAAATCCATCCCCTGGATGTGTTATATTCAGCCAGCCAGGAAAGAGTTAAAATTAAAAAACAGAACCAGTTGCCATCACATAAAATTTGGGGAAGTCACATAAAATGTTTGGCATCTGTTTTTAAAAAATTGGAAGAGCTGTAACACAGACACAGAATTTCCATGAGGTTGCAACTAGCTGGAGCTTAGACAGGGCACACACCCGCCACCTCTCCACAGTCCCTGCCTTGATTCATTTCTACTCTTTCCCTCTTTCATGTCCTCTGTCCTTACAGGTGTTTTCAGTTTTAACCATTGTAATAGCCTCCAAACTGTAAAGTTCTGTGACTTTTCCAAAGTGGATGGCTGGATTTAGAGGTGGAGGTCATTTTGGAAATCAGAAATGTGGCAGGGCTGAATTACGTCTCTCCCAAATTCATACGTTGAAGTCCTAAACTCCAGTACCTCAGAATATGACTGTACTTGGAGATAGTCTTAAAGAGCTAATGAAGTTAAAATGAGGTTATTAGGGTGAGCCTTAATCCAATATGGCTGATTTCCTTATAAGTGGAGGAAATTTGGAGACACACACACACACACACACACACACACACACACACACACACGACCATGTGAAGACACAGGGAAAGAGAAAATGGTCATCTACAACCAAGGATAGAAGCTTCAGAAGAAACCAGCTCTGCCAACACTGACACTTTGATTTTGGACTTCCAGCCTCCAGAATTGAGAAAATGAATTTCTGTTCTGTAAATCACCCAGTCTGTGGTAGTTACAGCAGCCCCAGCAAACTAATACACAGGGATTGCCAACTGCTTCCAAATATCTGTTTCTCTTTAGTAACAGAACACTGTATCTCAGCTGGGAAAGCACTCCCCAGCTGAAAGACTACATTTCCCAGCCTTGCAACTAGCTCTGATCATGTGACCTAGTAGTGGTCACGGGACCAAGTTCTGCCTATTGAGAGTGGGTGGAAATATCATGTGGGAGTCACAGGAAGTAACCTTAAAGAGAACTGGTACCATCTTATTGATCCCTTCCCCTTCCTCCCTACTAGAATTTGATGGCTGGAACTCTAGCAGTCACAGAGGACCACGAGGACAAAGGCTATACCCAAGGATGGCAGAGCAGAAAGATAGAAGGAACTTGAGTCCCCATGAAAATGGAGCTGCCATACTAACCTTATGTGCCTATCTCAAACCTTATTTCATACGGGAGAAATAAAGTGCTAGCTTGCTTGAGCCACTGTAGTTTCCTCTGTGATTTAATATCATACAAAAAGGGAGGGAATTGAGGATCTTGGGGAGAGTGGCTGAAATGATGATCATTAGGTATAAAGTGGAGAGAGGGGGCACTGAAGCTAGGAAGTGGGTTCAAAATGAGGAGTCAAGGACTGAGGTCTCTTCTTGGCCCCAGAGCAGGCATGTGGTCTGGAGATGGCAGGATGAACAGAAGGATGTGGTCAGAATGGGGTGCTCAGAAGAGAGGCCAGGATGTTGGAGGAGTCATCCAAGAAATATCTGTGGGCCAAACCAAGTGATTCACGGGGAGGGTGAATGTGGGATATACCAAGTGAGCCATGGGGGCAGGGTGTTAGATCTAGTAAACTGTGGGAGTCAAGTGGGGATGGAGTGAAATGTCGAAAGAGGCCAAGGGACTGCGGTTATATCAAGCGACAACAAGGGTATGCGGGTCGATGTTGGGAAGCCTCCCCAAAAGAGGTGCCTATCCTGGGAGCATCATCTGTTTTTGATTATCTGGCTCTGAGTCCTGGCTTGTCCATCTCTGAGCACACCTGTCTCTCATCTGAAATGGCCATCAGAGGGCCGGCCGAGTGGCTCAGTTGGTTAAGAGCTTGCTCAAGAGTTTGAGCTCTGAGCAACAGCAGTTCGAGTCCAGCCCGAGCTGAGCAGC